AACATCGCGTTAGAAGGTGTGATCAGAAGAGCTGGGATAGACACGAGTGGCACGATATTCAGGAAGTCCATCCAGCTCCTTGGTTTCGCCGATGACATTGACATTATGGCACGGAACTTTGAGATGATGGCGGAAACGTACATCAGACTGAAGGCTGAAGCTAGACGGATTGGACTTGCCATCAACGCATCAAAGACAAAATATATGAAAGCAAGAGGTTCTAGGGAAGACAATGTTAGCCTCCCACCCCGAGTTCAGATTGACGGTGACGAAATCGAGGTGGTCGATGAGTTCGTGTATTTGGGCTCACTGGTGACCGCCGAAAATGATACCAGCAGAGAAATTCAAAGACGCATTATGGCAGGGAATCGTGCCTACTTTGGACTCCGGAGGACGCTCCGGTCGAATAAAATTCGCCGCCGCACGAAGTTGACTGTCTACAAGACGCTGATTAGACCGGTGGTCCTTTACGGCCACGAGACCTGGACTATGCTCGTGGAGGACCAACGCGCCCTTGGTGTTTTCGAACGGAAGGTGTTGCGTACCATCTACGGTGGAGTGCAGATGGATGACGGAACGTGGAGGAGGCGAATGAACCACGAATTGCACCAGCTGCTGGGAGAACCATCCATCGTCCACATTGCAAAAATTGGGCGACTACGGTGGGCTGGGCACGTCGTAAGAATGCCGCACGACGACCCAGTGAAAATGGTTCTAGAAAGCGACCCAACAGGAACAAGAAGAAGAGGCGCGCAGCGGGCAAGGTGGATCGACCAAGTAGAAGGCGACCTGCGGACCCTTCGCAGACTACGAGGCTGGCGAACTGTGGCCATGGATCGAGTAGAGTGGAGACGACTTCTTCGGACAGCAGAGGACAACAAGGCCTTAGCCTGATTGGTAAGGTAAGGTATATTAGCTTATTGCGTGCTCTCAACTTAGTGTTCTAGATGCACTTCCACAGTTATTAATTGAGAGCTTTCGATGCCTGTACCATTTTTGCATTGATATGATTGTGTGGCAAGTCCAATCATACTTCTATGCCCAGAGAAGTCGAGAAATTTTCCAACCCGAAAAATTCCTAGACCGAACCGGGAATCGAACCCAGCCACCTCCAGCATGGTCTTGCTTTGTAGCTGCACCTTTACCGACTGAGCTAAGGGAGGCCCCAACAAGCTATTCAAATGAAATTACGTTCTCGAATTTTACTTGGCATGTAATGAACAACAGAAATACGCGATAATTCATATTTTCAGCGGTTGGTGGTTAATTTTAAATATACTAACGGTACTGCCTACGACTACGACGGCGATTACGACAGCGACAATAGCGAATTTGTAACTTGCCATTTGTCAAGGATAAACACCTTTGCCCGGCACCTCCACTGGTTCTTAATGTCCGCTATCTGTCACTGTTTGCAAAATATCTAATATCCAAAACTTCTCCAGGCTCTGGGAGAGCAAAAGCCGGCCGTTCCAGTACACTTCGGGCGCCACTAGGAGACATCTAAGGAAAGAGTTCTGGGAGTCATTTGGTATTCGGACATGGATGAGTTCGCATTCTCAATGATGCACCGCGAAGAGATGATACCGTTCGAGGGAAAACGACCGACGAAAAGGCTCGTTGCAAGCCGCGTGATGGGATTTTTCGATCCGCTCGGACTACTATGCTACTATCGCCGTTCACCATCCACGGGAGAATAATAATGCAACACATTTGGCGTTCCAACCTCGGTTCCAACTGCGACCAGGTCGACCGAAGTTGATTCGCTGGAAACGTCTTCACCGATGCCAGCAAACATGGATACGGCTGCGTAGCATACTTGAGAGCGGTCATCGATGATGAGTCAAACGATCCTGGGAACGCACTCGAATCAGATTAGTCTTCTGAACGGATTCTCGAACCGTGTGCAGTTGGCTCAATTCCGACCAACACCGATTCATGCAATTCGTTGCATTCCGGGTTGATGAGATTAAAGAGCTGACAAAGGAAGCCGATTGGAGATGGGTTCCGACCAAGATGAATATCACAAACGTGATGACGAAGTGGGGACAAGGTACGCCGTTGCAAAGTGAAAGAGAATGGTTCAACGGACCGGTGTTCCTGTATCGGTCGCAAGAGCAGTGGCCAAGTGATTGGAGAGACGGATGAGGAAACAAGAGGTGTAGTGCTGTTCCACAGGGTGATCGACGTTGAACCGATTTCGCGCTGGATAAAACTGTTGTGGGTGACAGCCAGCGTATTACGCTTTATCGCCAACTGCCGACGAAAAAGAAGAGGCAGCGAATTACGCTTCGGACAGGATGAGCTCCAGCAGGCGGAAACAATTCTTTGGCGGTAGGCACAGTGAGACAGTTTTCCGAACGAAATGAGCGTGCTCACGGACAACTTTAAGCGTCATCCGGACGGAACAGTGGCGACTGTGAATCTACAAATGTTCACCGGTGTTGGATATCGAAGGCATACTACGTATGGACGGTCGACTTGCGAATGCCGAAGCGAGTTCTTTCGACAAAAGGCATCCGATCATTCTGTCCCGATTCCACTACGTGATCCAGAAACTGATCCAGCTCTATCACGAAGAGTTCGGGCACGCAAATTCGGAAACCGTGTTCAACGAAATGAGGCAGCATTTCCAGATTCCAAGAATGCGTCCGGCGATCCAGAAGGTTAGCGATTGCGCCTGGTGTAAGGTAAACAAGTGTCGTTCACGATCACCGATGATGGCTCCACTTCCAGTTGAGCGAGTCACTCCTCATCCTCGGCCATTCAGCTCTGTGGGCATTGACTTCCTGAGCTGAGTCCCGTCGACGTTACGGTTGGGCGCCGTAATGAGATGTGTTGGGTGGCAGTTTTCACCTGTTTGGCCGTGCGGGCAGTGCACCTGGAAATATACAGAATACTGAACTGAAAACAGCTGCAGATTTTTAAATTCTCCCTGGATGGAAATCTGAGAAACGAAATCTGAAATTTTGAATAGTTGTAGATCTTTAAAATGAAAGTCATGGAAATATCCAGGGAACTTTATTGATATGTCATCGGAAATCCGTGTGTATCAAAAAAGTTCTGTAAAATTTTACGAAAATTCCTTAACTTCTACGAAGATTTCTGTACTTCCACAAAGTTTTTTGAATACAATCTCAATTACGTGAACTCAAAAGAAGCTCCCTGAACTTCTTTCCAATCCATTGAGCTTATCGGGAGTTTTCAGCCTTCCAGTAAAGATCCCTGAACTGTTTCGCAAACTTCTGGAAAATGCTGTCAACTTTCAAGAAGTTCCCTGAACCTCTAAGGTTTTCCATAGGCTATGGAAACTTTTCTAAACTTCTAGCAAGTTAACTGAATTTCTACCAAGTTTGTTGAGCTTGTTCGAATTTCCTATAACTCATAGAATATACGCTGAACATCTACAAATTTTTATTAACTTCTAAAACAAATTCGCTGCTTCTACGAAGTTTCTTGAACTTGTAGCAAGTTCCATAAGTATTAATTCTACTAAGATCTTACAACATATATGAACTTGTCAGAACTTCTGGGAAGATTTGAACCATTTATGTTAATATTGCTGAACATCTGGGCAGTTTCCTGGAATTAAACTAAGTTCTCACAACATCCAGGTAGTTCAGTGTCCTATTCTGACAAACTGCTACGAAGTTCTCTAAACTGATAAGATGTCCGAAGTACTACGATATTCCCTGAATTTCTAAGATGTTTGCTGAGCGTCAACCAAGTTTACCGAACGTCTTAAAAGTTTCCTGAAATAGAACAAAATTCCCAGCACTGGTCATTTTACGAGTTTTCTCGAATTGCTACGTAACTTCTTCAAAGTTCGTTGAACTAACTTAAACGAAGTTCCCTAAACTTTTAAGAATTTCGTTGATTTTCTACGAAGTTTCCTGAATCCAAGTCCATGTTTGAGACCTCCCTTAGCACAGTCGGTAAAGGCGCAGCTACAAAGTAAGACCATGCTGGAGGTGGCTGGGTTCGATTCCCGGGCAATAGAGTATGATTGTACTTGCAACACAATTATACTAATGCAAAAATATGGTACCGGCATCGAAAGCTCTCGATTAATAACTGTGGAAGTGCATCTAGAACACTAAGTTGAGAGCATGCAATAAGCGAATATGCGATAAGCAATAAACTTGAAACGCGAAGAAGAAGAAGAAGATTCCAAGTCCATTAAAAATTGTGAAAATCGCAAGCAGAAGGAAACTGTATCCTACACGCAGAGAAATGGTTTTTAAATTCAAATGGATATATTTTTGACTCAGGGCCTAATGTATTTTTGATATTGTTTCAAATATATTATTAGGTTAATTCAAAGAAAAATATTTTTGAATCAACAAACCGGTTGTAGAGTCAATAATCTGTTTGTTGATTCTAAAAACCATTTTGTTGATTCAAAAATATGTTTTGTTGAAATAGTGATACAATATGTTTGAATCAATAACAAAATACATTAGGCCCTGAAACAAAAATCCATTTTTCTGCGTGTACACATAATGTCCAGCAGAAACTGTTGCGTACCGCGATACCCCGGGAATGGCATTTGGAAATGTTCGATACATCAGGTTAATAAAAACGTGGACGATCAACCGCTAGAGCAGGTCTGCGTTGCCGACCTTCTCGGTTGACACGTAGTCGATGTTGTAATCGTAGAGAGCAGCAAGTAGTTGAGATCGTTGAAGGCGGTTTGCAGTGCATAGACTGGAATTCCTTTCTTGGACTCGAAAATGCAAAGTAGAATGGGTAATGATTGGTCTGCAGCCGGAAGTGCCGTCCGAAGAGCATCTCGTGGAACAAACCTTCACGGTCGGGCTGAGTGTAGTGCTCCAAGAGCGTTGAATTGGACTTGGCTGGGTCAAGGCAATTATTAATGTCAATATGTTACTGGTGATGTTTCGTTGGTAGTTCAATAATGTGGATGTAGCGATTCTGCCCGAAGACTTGAATGCGTAGGAAACTAGTTTTATCTTATCGAATGTTTTAATCTTCCCCAGATGGCGACCAGTGCCTGCATAACCTGCATCAAATCCATCGGATGGGATGAACCATCTCTCACAATTAGCGACAGCCAAGATGTGCAGAATGCCCTGAGCAAACATTTTTGGTTCGGTGTAAGTAGTGACACATTGCTCGGTTGCATTTCTTAACATTAAACAATACGGCCATTTTCTCATAGGAAGATCAATGCCTCAAAAGTATTATTTGTCAGCCATGTTGGCATAAAATTGCCGAATTCAACCGATTCTACTGCGAAGTCGAGCAGCTACACGCTCAACAGACGTACCCTCCGATACATCTACTGGAGATAAAGCAGGAAGTAAGTCTAAATCAGTTCACCCCGGAACTGGACGAACCCGATCATCTGGATACCAGTGAAATCAAAGATGGAGCCGGGAATGAGAAAATAGCCGACGATCAGAGTGACGATAACGATAACGATAACGACGACGATGATGACGAAGGCGACTCCGGCGAAAACATCTCTTCAGATGACGATGATAATGATTCTGATTTCAAACCCAAGCGTCAAAAGTTGAAAAAATGCGACATGGAGGAGATTCAACAGTTCATAACGGCAAATATCAAACTGGAATGTACCGTTTGTTCGGAGAAGAGCGAAACGTTCGAAGATCTCCAGAGGCATTCCTTGATGGAACACGAAACGCGGGCTCATGTGTTTTGTTGCGAGCGAAAGTTCATCAACGCCTACCGACTGAATGGACATGTTCAGTTCCACCTGAATCCAGATTCCTTCAAATGTTCACACTGTTCAAAACAGTGTCCCAACAAAGAAGCATTGAGGAAGCACTTTCAAAAGGTCCATACACCGGAGGAAGAGAAGAAGTATCACTGTAAGGTTTGCCCGAGAAAGTTTACGACTCGAAGTGCACTGTCACTACACGAAAAGAATCACGCAGAAACGGATCCAAAAGACGACGGTAAACCAAGGAAGCGTCACCATGCGAACCGAACCAAGCGCGATATAAATAACGAAAAGATGATTGCCGAAAATGTCAACCTGGAATGCGATTCGTGTCAGAAGAAGTTCGATACGTTCGTAATTCTGCAAAAGCACTCGATGGCAGAGCATAAGAAGCTTTCGTACGTATTATGCTGCGGTCAGAAGTTCAACAAAAAGCCACGTCTCGTCGACCATGTGCTTTTCCATCTGGATCCGACCACGTTTCAGTGTAAGGTCTGCCACAAGAATCTCCCGCACACAGAATCGTTGAAGAGACACATGGACAGTAACCACACGCCGGTGGAGGCAAAAACGCTCAAATGCAGCATGTGTCCGAAGATGTTTTCGCACAAGAAATTCCTAAACACTCACGAACGGTATCACAACCGAAGCTGGCAATGCGAGATCTGCGACAAGCGGTTCATATGTGAGGCGGTAATGAAGCAACATCATCGCTCGGTTCACACCAAAGAGCTGAACTACGTGTGCCACATATGTGCCAAGACGTTCCACATCTACTCGTCCTATCGATCCCATCTGCAAACGCATGACGAGCCTTCTAAGCGGGTGAAACCACGGAGGCCGCCGGTACAATGCCCAGTATGTGGCACAATGACACCCAAGCTATCCCACCACATACGCTTGCATTCCGGGACGAAAACGTGCGAACTCTGCGGTCAGGTGTGCAAGAACGTGATAGCCTATCAGTACCACATGAGGCAGCACGAGAACGGGGATTTCGTTTGTTCGGTTTGCGGAAAAGGATTCAAACGGGATATCACGTTGAAGGTAGGTTGGGTGGTATTGTTTGTTTTAGGTTAAGCATCCGGTTCACTGTGGATCATTTCAGGAACATATGGCATCGCATACGGGCGAGGTGCTGTACAGTTGCGACTTCTGTGAGCGGACTTTCAACTCGAATGCCAACCGTGCGGCCCATCGGAAGAAGATGCATCCTCAGCAGTGGCTCGAGGACAAGTTGAAGAAGAAAGCCGCTAGGCAGCAAGCTCAGCTGGGTGTAACGGAACAAACGGAGTGAGGATATGGATCAAGGTAGGTCGCGGTATAAGGTATGCATAAATTTCTGTCATTGTATTTGGAAAAGCATTGTTTGTAGGGTCGATGTTTTGAAGAATCCGCTAGTTCTGAAATTGGCCATTTTACGTCTTGTTCCTAGGTATACTCACCGTCTTTCCAGAAGTCGTAGTTCGTCAATGTAATAATAATTAACCGGCTGAGTGTTATTCAGGTTAGGTACATTCAAGCTGAAGTCTATCTAGGAAACAATAGAATTGGCGACCTTCTACACACTTAGATTTATTTGCCGAATCTCGCACAGCTGAGTGCTCGGCTATAAGTGTTACTGAGATCTCAGCATCTCAGACATCTCAGCAATGTCTAAAAACTACAGGAACTCAGCGCTGTGTACCTGGAGTTTTTACAAATTTATCACACAACTGAGTAGAAGTGACTTTCGCTCTGAGTTATTCTCATTGGCCATGTTGTACCTATATAAAGGCAAGCGTTTAACCAACAGGTGGAAACTAACGATTTTAAATTGGCTCACTGCTTGACTAGCCTATTGGTCCCAAGCAAATCGATTGACGTATCCCATTGCAGTCAAAATTCTAGTACTACACGATGTTTTGATTCGCTATGAAAGTTTGACAGATAAAATGAGGGGCTCGTGGATTTTCCTATGTTTCGAGGGATGCATCGATTAGCTTGGGACCGAAGAAAGTACCAGAGCTGAGCCAAAAAGTTGAACACGTTTCTTCGGGACCTTCTTGCCTTAGAGTTACCTCTATGGTTTAACTCGGTTTGCAGTGGTCGTTTGATTTGTGTAATCTCCATAATAACCCCAGGAAAGCTTTGAAATTGTTGTTTTCGGCAGGAATATTTGGAGGAAGTCTACAGAAGATCTGGGGGAAGTCCACATGAATAAATGGAGAAAGTCCACAGGAAGATCTGGAAGAAGACCATTGGAAGGTGTGAAAAAAATCACTAGAAAATTTGGAGGAAGTCCACAAGGAGACCACGTGAAGATCTGAAAAAAAAGTTCACAGAAAGATCTGGAGGAAATTCACAAGAATATTTGGAGAAAATCCACAGAAATATTTGAAGGAAGTGCACAGGAAGATCTGGAGGAAATCTACAGGAATATTTGGAGGAAGTTCACAGGAAGAACTAGAGGGTCGACATGAAGTAAAGTCCCTGAAGATACCCATAGGAAGATCTGGGAGAAACCCACCGTAAGATCTAGAGGAAAACCGTAGTAAGATTTGGAGAAAGCTCGAAGCAATTTCACAAGCAGATCTGGAAGAAACCCATTTGAAGATCTGGAGGAAGTCCTTAAGAAGCAGTGGAGGAAGTCAACAGAAAAATCTTTAGAAAATCTACATGATTTGGAAGAAGTTCACAGGAGGAAATCACATTATAGGAAGAGTGACAATGGAAGATCTAGACGAAGTCCACTAGGCTTTAGGAAGGAAGTTCGTAGGACTTCGATAGAGAGTCTTCAGGACTTCAGGACGATTTTCACGATAGACTTAGTGTAGATGTTCTGATTAGATTTCCCCTAGAAGACGTTCTCAGTTCTCTTAGAAATGCTTGCGCTAGAAATCTAATGCAGTTCCCATGTAAGTCTTGTGGATTTTTCTTAAGAGTCCTGCATGGTTCATCTTTTAGAATCCTACCAAAAACCCTATGCATTTTGTCTATAAAATTCTCTTAGAAGTCCGGTCGGGAGGAATTTCGGTAGAGGAAACAGCCAGAGGCGAAAGAAAAGGCCTTTTGTTTTGTACGAGAATATAGCCTAAGCGACGGACAAATTCCAGTTGGGCCTTATTCTTCTTTCCTTTATTTAACGTCGATCTCTGTTCCGCAATCTAGTGCCAATCACCGACGGACATCGATTGCCATCCATTGACGACAATCGATGCAGGAAGTCAGCTTCCACACCTGCGTAGGATATCGCACCTAAAGAACCTGAATTTATAAAGATACGACATGTCAAAATTGGAACAATCTATTATCTGACAAAGTCATTCCAATCGAGCAGAAAACCTGTCAAATGGATAATATGTCGTCTCTTTATAAATTCAGGCTCTTTAATCGCACCCATTCAAACACACATGGGCCGGGACCAACGGCTTTACTTCCCTTCCGAAGAAAGACGTGACCAGAGATTTGTATAGCTTAATTGGCTTAGATAAAAAATTTTCCGCGAATACGGGGACAGCTCGACGACCTCCGCTAAAGCCTGCATGGTCTAACCCACGCCTACGCGTGCTAAAACGTCAACGCTCTGCCGCCCTCCGAAAGTATTGTAACTCTCGCTCGCCGTACTACAAACGACTGTTCAATTTTGCGAGTCGTAGTTATCGAAATTACAATCGTTTTTTCTATAATCGACACGTGAGACGCACGGAAGCGAACCTTCGCACGAATCCGAAAAGTTTTTGGTCGTTTGTCAACTCAAAACGGAAGGAATCCGGATTGCCTTGTTCCATGTTTCTCGGGAATGACTCGGCTAATAGTGAAAGAGAAAAATGCGACTTGTTTGCTCGTCATTTCAAGCAAGTGTTCAACGATTTCTCCGCTTCGCCAACACAAGTGCTGGATGCTGCTGTTGGGATGCCACGTGATGTGTTTAGTTTCGTTATTCCGCGCATTTCAGAAGACATGGTGATAGCCGCAACACGCAGAATGAAGCTATCGTTCGCCTTCAGACCTGACGGCATTCCGTCATCAGTTCTAAAACGTTGTGTAGCCAATCTCTGCCTTCCACTTGCGAGGCTATTCAATCTCTCGGCACAGCAATGTGAGTTCCCCTGCCGCTGGAAACTTTCTTATCTGTTCCCAGTGCACAAAAAAGGAGATAAACGGAATGTCATAAATTATCGTGGAATCACCTCCCTGTATGCCTGCTGAAAACTGTTCGAGATTATCATAAATGGTGCTCTGTTCGCACGCTGCAAAAATTATATCGATACAGAACAACACGGTTTCTACCCAAAGCGCTCCGTGTCCACGAACCTGGTGCAGTTTACTTCTAACTGTCTGCGATGCATGGATTCAGGATGGCAAGTCGATACTGCGTATATGGATCTAAAAGCTGCATTTGACACGGTGGACCATAATATCCTGCTGGCCAAGCTGGAGATACTTGGCATCTCGTCAACTGCTGTGGATTGGTTCAGATCTTACTTGGTGAATCGCTATGTACATGTCAAGATTGGCGCTTCGGAATCGGATGTTTTCTCAAACAACTCGGGAGTCCCGCAAGTCAGTAACCTAGGACCGCTACTATTTTCGATCTTTTTAAACGATGTCGCCTTGCTGATACCATCAGGATGCCGCGTTTTCTATGCAGACGATACGAAAATCTACAAAATTATTAAAAGCCTCTCGGACTGCTGGGATCTCCAAAATATGTTAGGTATTTTTGCTGACTGGTGCTCAAGAAATTTGATGAGTCTAAGCATAGAAAAATGTAACATTATTTCATATCACCGAAAAATTGAACCAATCATGTTTGACTATGTTCTCTACGGACGCTGTCTTGCTCGTGTAGAGCACATAAAGGATCTCGGCGTTACCTTGGACTGCAGACTCACTTTCAGAATCCACTACAATGACATCATCTCCAGAGCTAATCGACAATTGGGCTTTATTTTCAAAATTGCCGACGAGTTTCGTGACCCGCTATGTCTCAGGTCACTTTACTGCTCGCTTGTGCGATCCTTATTGGAGTCAAGTTCAGTTGTTTGGTGCACTTTCCATGCTAGCTGGATCACTAGAATTGAATCCGTTCAACGCAAGTTTGTGAGATATGCTCTTCGTTTCCTCAACTGGCGTGACCCAACGAACTTGCCACCGTACGAGGAGCGTTGCCGTCTCCTGGGAATCGAGCCATTAGAGGTGAGACGGACGGTCGCTCAAGCTATGTTCGCTGGAAAGCTGCTTACGGGTGACATTGACTGTCGAACACTGCTGTCACAGCTAAATATGAGAGGTCTCTTCGTCAACGCGACTTTCTGTTTTTGGAACCACGGAGCCGGAATTATACACAACACTAGCCAATTCGAGCAATCAGCCGACAATTCAACAACTTTTTTTTATATGTTCGACTTCAATGTATCAGCTGACGTGTTTCGTCATCGGCTACTTGGCCTTTTCCGTACCGTTGACCGTAACTATTTAGTTTAAGTTTTATTCATTTAGACAGTATTTGTCAGTTGAATTTTTCAATAAACAATAAACAATGTCAGTAGTGTGCTTTGAACAGAAATTTAATGGTATTTTCTATGGTCATTCATGGCGGTCTGTACCATACGGAACGCTTCTAGAATCTAGAGAAACATCGCCAGCTTATTGGCACCGCTATGTCATCTGTTCCCGAAGGCTTCCTCGCTAAAAAAACCATAAACTAAAGGCTTTCGGAAGAACAAAGGAGCTCCCCTTCTGGTCACTGCGTTTGAAATCTTATTAGGTATCAATATCTAAGACAGTTTACCGCGAATCCATATACGCGGCTATCCTGCTATTCGAACGTATTTTGCTGAACCTCACCCGTTAAGTTCAGACCGGTCACGGTCGGCAGTACACCTACCGGCGGCAGGGCCATTCCACCGCCGACGCCTTCCCGACTGCCGTACTTTGCCAGCCGTTGTTCCAGCCACTCCTTCGGGTGCATCTTCTTCCTGTGGGAGTGCATATTGGCGCTGGAGTTAAACGTCTTCACACAATGCGGACACTGATACAGGACGTCTCCGGTATGGGCGGCCGCCACGTGCTCTTTCAGCGTGATCGCCCTGGCGTATTCTTTTCCACAGAAGCTGCACGGAAAAACCCTTGGACCGGAGTGCATCCGCGCCTTGTGTCCCTTCAGTGCCATCAAATTCGGCGACACATGACCGCAAACGTCGCAGCTCAGCTCTCCTTCATTCTTGTGCCGTCGCACATGGACGCGCCAATAATCGTGATTCTTGCACCACTTGAAACAATGCGGACATTGCTTGCGAAGCTGTTCCGCCGAAACTTCATGCGTCTTTCGATGAGTCAAAAACGTCGATCGCATGTAGAATCCTTTCGAGCACACATCGCAGATGTACTCCATCTGCTTCACGTGACGATACTTGACATGATTCTTCAGTATATTAATATTGCTGAAACACTTGCCGCAGGTTTCGCACTTGGCCGTTCCCTTGTCAAGTGTTTCGTGATCTGCCAGGTGCCGTTTCAGGGCACCTTCCTTGACGAAACTCTTCGGACACCGGTGGCACTTGAAAGCGCGCTCTTCCTCCGTAGCGTGGCTCTCCTTTTTGTGCCGATTGTACCCGAATCGATTCTTGTAGGTCTTACCGCAAATCTCGCACTTGAACGCTTCAGGATTCAAAACGTGCTGCACGTGTTGGAAAAGTACCGATCGCTTCCGGTGCTTTATGCCGCAGCACGTGATATAACCTTCTTTGTTATGCGTGTGCATGCAGTGACGCTGGAAGATGTGAAACTGATCAAAATCGACGTTACAGTCTTCGCAAACGTAGCGCGTGTGCTGCTTGATGAAAGCATCTTCCACTTCCCGTTCTTCCGGTGTCTTGGGTGTGTACGGATAGGTATCTTTCTTCTCTTTCTTGACGCTCTTTTCCCCAGGTGCTCGTCGCGTATATTTCCGCTTCTTACGTGGCTCAGGAGCCACTTCCTCCGGTTCATACTCGGATTGATTGTCATCGGAGAAATCATCGTCAATGGTTTCGTCCTGCTTTTCAGAACCTTCGTCGATCAGTTCTGACGGTGGTTCCATCTTGATCACTGGAACTGCTGGTGGTTTTGAGTTTTCTTCTGCAAAATTCATCTGCTGTTCGATTTGGTTCGGACAAACATCCTCCTCCTTGATGAAAACCGGAAGCGGTATAGGGTCTCGATGATTGTGTAGCTTTTCCACTTCTGTGTAAAATTCATGGAACTCGCTGACCTTCTCCCAGCAGACTTTGCAAATAATATCACTTCGAAGCTCATCTTCCTGTACATTGCGAAATTGGTGGAATGTAAGAATTCGGTCACCCAAGCGAAGTATACGGGACTTACCTGGAACCAGAAATGTTGACACAGTACCCTGCAAATGTCCAGCTTTCGATCCTCTTCGGTCTGAATCGGGTAGAAATTCAACGGCTTTCTGCTACACGTCAGACAGCTGCCTTCATCGGACGGCGGCGGTTGCATTTGGCTCATGTTTACCAAGTAAAAATCCGGATTTTCAACCACAGCACTGAAAGTGAATGCGAATTTTTCAACGCTCAAGAAAAACACTAATGATACCTGGGTGGTAGCAAAATGGAGCTTTCCGTGTCAAAAACAATCGTTCATAAAAATGTTGCACATTAAAATCGGTGCAACAGTGTTATGCGGCGTGCGAGCGAGATGATGCGTGCGATTCTGAAGGGCTGCGACCTGCGACATGTACACGGAAACATTCATAAATAGTACTCAGATTATCGGAGGTCCACGGTAGAGTCGGTGTATAATGAGTCACGCCAAGAGAAAAACAGTTGAACTCGCATCACGGTTTTCGAAAGATTCCCATTCTTTTCACTTGGCAACAGAGGACTTTTACAACAACTTCAAATGACTTCTAGCGAGAGAAAAAATATTGCGGCTGTAGTAAATCATTATATCAGTGATTTTGTCAAATTATCTTAACAAAAAATAGTAGAAATTCTCATTACTAATCATTACCGAGCGTATCCCTAGACAATTTAACGCTCATTGCGTGTTTATGCTCATTTCTTCGATTATATTTTATATTTTATTGCAATACCTTTCGTGAACCTTTCATAGCATTGTAATGTTTATTTACTTTGCACGATAGGTAGCCGTTTTGACAGTTCAATAGGTAGACTTGGCTTCACTCTTGGCGTGACTCATTATACACCGACTCTAGTCCACGGTATCAAGTTAAAGACTCGGTCAAAGATTTCTGAAACCACTCCCGAAAAAAAATTATTATAAAACAATGATATTACAATGATTTTTGCTGTTGAATTTCGAGTACATTAAAATTTATTGTTAAATTCTTGTACACAGCAAAAAAAAAAAAAATGTAATATCGATCAATGTAATTCAAGCTGATGTATGAAATAATGATGTAATCAATGGATGTAATTTTGTTCGCAAAATCGATGTACATCGTACAACGTTATATTACACAACCGATTGATTGACCTGGTTGCAGCATTTTGGATGTAATATTCAACAACTTTTTTTTCTGTGTACGGGAGAAAAAGTTGGTGGGCGTTGGCCAGATTTGGATTTTTCAGATATAATCCTAAATAGGACCTAGATTATTTAATACTCTAGTAACCTCAAGTCCGTGCTCTGTCACAATGTTTCATTGTGATTAATCAACACTCAAAGGGGTAAAATATCAAATTTGGGGTGAATTTGAAAGAAAGGGAACTTGGAGTGTAGAGCGCACTGCTGTAGCATATTTGGTTGTAGCATATCCAATGACTTGAAATTAGGTTGAGCGCAAATGACACGAAACATGCATGCTACAAATATTAACCAAGCCTTCATTTTTGAATCGTATGTTCCCATACTTCTGACCATTAACTTCGTGAAGGTTTATAATTGATGACTTTGTTGTACAAGTATAAACCTCCACTCCAAGCTAAATTATTGCAAACACTTTTTCTCATGTAACGTGGGAAACGTAGAACAACGACCTATGTTATTGCCACTTCAAAAAAAAACAAGACCAAACGTAATACGACTCTTTCTCTATCATAACACAAAGTTCCCACACAGGACACTTCTACCCAATCAATAAAGTTTGGCTTTAGCGTCGATTTCTCTTTGACAAATCGATTCCTTATTGGTTAAGCAAAGATTAGAAGCAACTCCAGGCACCTCCTACCTAAGTGTAGAGAAATGTAAATGTGTAGAATTTAAGTGACATGTAAACTGAAATGCAAAGGAATAAAGAGACGAGATTGAACCGTCAAACAAGATTGTTGATGTCAAGGAAGATATCACAAGTCATATTACACTGCCCACTGGACGATTCTGAAGCCTGGCCATGTGAGTGGGGTATGGGTTTATTTGATTGAACGTCATTTCCAATGTATATATTGATGCATTCAAACCATTGGCATTTGAGATAAGACAAAGATAGGATGCGGAGGGCCCGCTTAGGGGAAGCGTAACCCATGTTATGGTTTCCATTTATTAAATAGTTCAGTTAGGCTGGAAATGACAGGTTCATAGTGAGAAAATGTACCAGATGGGGCCCGTTCACTGATCAAAATCAGATTCACATCGTCAGACCCTGCTCAAGAATAAGAGTGGATTGACGATGTCTTGTCAAGTTTTATTTTGAATTTGCGTTTTGCATTTAATACTCTAGTAAATCTCGCGTCCGTGCTCATTCACAACAGTGTGATGTGTCAATACTCACTGAGTTATATGTCTTAGACCAGTTCCAGATTAGTTTGCTATTAATATCTTCTGCATCGCAGTTCGCGATAGATTACTAAATATGGGTTCTCTTTTCCGACCATAATAGTGTGAGGGAAGGGGGTGAGTTAAACGTTGCTATATGAGAGCGAATAGAGGCAAATAGACAACACCATGACCCAAATAAGTAACCAATGCATGCGGCTCACACTTAACTTGTTCTATTTCTTTCTTTCTTCCTAACATGTAGTAATATTAACTGCCTGAGGACAAATGGGAACACGACCAGAAGTTCAATAGGAGAAAAGTAGCGAGAAAATTGGAACAAGAAAAGAAGAATTAAACTTGCACCGGCAAGAGGAAGCAGACAGAAAGGATCATGCCGGTTGGAAACAGCCAATGTATACTGGACGAAGCTTGTATCTAGGAAAAGTCGTATGTACAGGAAACCGTAAGTAGGATAAGAATCGTAAAAGGTGTGTGCTTGCTTGATAAGATCCTAACTTTACTTTAAATACACGGTAGGAATCGAATATCCATTTATGATTAAGGTTTTGCCCATTTTTCAGTGGGAGTGGCAATTCTCATTGATGAGTGATTTATCGTACCCATTTATTAGTAACCGTTAGCAGCTAATGATTAATTAATTAGTTTCAGCATTTTCGTCATTATAATCAAAAGGTGAGTTTTAAAAGTATAATTATATGCATATAGATAAGTTAATGTACCAGAACCTGGACGGACACGAGCCTACCCAGGGGAGGACCCGGATACGACCACCCATGTGTGTCTAGAGTATCGCACGAGCTGACGAGTGCAACGGGAAGGACAGTAGGTGTATAGACTAGGGAGTTGGTCCCTAGATAAGCTTTCTTAGCGGAAGGCACAGCCTATGCACTGAACAATTACAATTACAATTAAATTCTTGTACGGGAGAAAAAGTCAATTTCAATTTTTAATGCTCAAACCATGAAAATTAGAGTGATGAGATCAAATTTGTTCGCGATTGAAGCGAACGTAATGTGTTGTAGAAGTAGTAGTAGTAGTTGTTTTGTGTAATCGTCCTAACCACTTACCCAATCCTTTAAAACTCTACTAACCCCGAGGCGACCGCGGGTAATCGGTTTCCGAAACTAACCCTAATGTGCTACATGTGTAATTTGTATCAAGACCCTGAAAACAAGCTTTGATCATTTCCTTACGCTGCCGCTGGCTTGGCACGAGCATGCAAGCAGCAGCACCGACCGAGCGACGAGCGACCGACCGACCACAAACCAACGAGCGTGCAGCGAGTGCTGATTGGTTATGAATGAAGGAGAAATGAATGAATGCAACATCAAGAAGAAGAAAGCCAAACACATTTAAAGCAACGCATTTTGCGCGTCGCGATCATACAGTCCACAAGCTTTGTAAAGCAAACACCGAAATATAGCGCCGTTGAAAGTTTTAATTCATTCTCGTTTTTCCTCTTTGGACAAGCCGAAGCCAAAACAGTCCTTTTCAGGGCTATGAGTTGAGTTGGATTTCAGTCGAGCTTTTCGTTGTGTTCCTGTTGGCATTCCCACAGGGGGAATTGGCCAAATCAGCTGGAATCCTCCGAGCCGAGGATTGCCACACCATCTCCAGTGTCCGTGATCGGACATTTTTGGTCCTTCGAGCCGGATCCGTGTGATCCCATCTGTTTCTGTTGCAACCGCAACAGCGTTTCAACAATCTGACGATTGTCGAAAAGTTCCTGCCTTTTGTCGCTGTGATCAGCCGATCGGATTTTCTGCTACCTCACGAAAAGCTCGCAGAGTTTTGTTTTAGAATTTTCTTGTGGCTTGGCTAAAAGGAAAACCGCAAGTTTCTTCGAAAGTACAGTCGCGAGTGAAATCGAACCTGTTCGTCGTCGCGTGTGCAAAACAAAACGTACGCGAACGTCTTACGTCGTGTGCAAGTGGTGGAACGTGTTTATTCCTGTCCGTTCCTGCCTACCGTTGTGCAGGTGATCGCTGTGATTGATGCCAATTCAACACACACCTGTGAAGAACGAAAAGGAGAAGATGGCTGAAGTGAAGACTCTTGTTCACCTTCGTGGGCAAGCGAAGGCCAAAGTGACGAGGATCCGGAAGGCCGTTGAAGAAGCATCTGGAGCTGGAGCAAGGCAATTGAGTATGGTGCAGCTGAAAGTCTTCACACGCAATTTGGAAACGCACTACCAGGAGTATTGTGATATTCATCGGCAAATCGTCGCTTTGACTCCCGCCGAAAAACTAGTGGACCAGGATGAAACGTACATCCTATTCGAAGACCAACACAACGAGGCTTGCATGTTGGTCGAAACATTAATCCAGTTGATGACCGAGCCGCAACCTCGTCCGATGTCATCGTCCCAGCGAGAAGGGATTCCTCGCATCATCGTACAGCAGCCACCACTCAAGGCTCCCATTCCCACCTTCGATGGGAAACCCGAGAACTGGCCACGTTTCAAGGCCATGTTTCTCGACGTCATGAGAACATCCACCGATTCCGACGCCATCAAACTTTACCACCTTGATAAAGCGTTGCTTGGTAATGCCGCTGGAATCATCGACGTCTGCACCTTGAACGAGAATAATTATGCCGGAGCATGGGAGCTGCTGGAAGAACGTTTTGAAAACAAGCGGCTCATCGTAGACACACACATCCTGGGGCTGCTTAGCCTGAAGAAAATGAACCGAACAAGTGCCAAGGATCTTCGGGAATTAGTCGACGAAGTATCCCGACACATCGATGGATTGAAGCTCATGGAGGAAGTGATGAACGGTATGTCGGAGCGTTTCGTTGTCAACCTCTTGGCAACAGCTCTGGATGCCAAAACCCGGATGGAATGGGAATCAACCGTTCCCCACAAGCAAATTCCCACGTACAAGGACACGATGGAGTTCCTAAAGAAGCGCTGCGCAATCCTGGAGCGGTGCGAGGATGCGATCGTGAAGCCGCCCGTTACGAAGCCATCTGTACCAAGCAAGAATCAAGTGAAGAGCATCTCTACCAAAGCTTTTGCTGTCACCGGAAAGGAGTCCTGTGACGTGTGTGGAACTGGAGCCCACCCGAACTTCAAGTGCGAGATCTTCCGAGCGATGACCGTCGTGCAACGCCAAGCCAAGGTAAGAGAGATCAAAGCTTGTTTTAATTGTTTGAAAGTGGGTCATTTAAGTAATTCGTGTACATCGTCATATACGTGTTCTAAATGCAAGGGTAGACACCATACCCTTCTGCATAGTGATAAACCGGTTTTCCAGTCTACCTCGAAATCCAATGTCTCGAACGCTGAATCCCAGTCTGTTTTTGAGGTTTCACAGTCAATTTCGAAGTCTCAACCTTTTCCTGATGCTTCGCAGTCTGTCTTGAAATCGAATGTCCCAAATGTGCAATATCAATCTGTTCCTAAGGAATCCCAGTTCAATAGTGCAGTCTCGCGTTCACTGAAGCAACCCCCACGTCTGAGTCATAGTTTGTTGATGACGCCTAGGGTTCAGATTAAGGATTCGGATGGAAATCTGAAATACTGTCGAGCATTTTTGGATTGTGGTTCCCAGGCTCACCTTACTTCTCGTAGTCTGGTTAAGTCTTTGAATCTACCCCGTTTCTCTACTAACGTTGAGGTAGTCGGAGCAAATGGTCAGCGTTCAACGCTATCTGAGATGGTTAGAATTGAGATACGTTCTTGTAATTCTAACTATGCTGCGCAACTTGAGTGTCTTGTTGCTGACAAAGTTACTGGCCCTATGCCATCTGTTCCATTTGATATAAGGAAGTGGAACATCCCTCCGAATCTTCCACTTGCAGATCCTGAATTTCATATTCCTGGTGAAATTGACTTGCTGATTGGAATTCAGTTGTTTTTCAAATTATTGCTGCCAGGTCAAGTCAAGATGGCTGATGAACTTCCAATCCTCCAAGAAACTCGGCTTGGATGGGTTGTTGCTGGTTCTATCGAAGAGTCTCATGTTGCACAACATTGTTACTCTGTGGGTCTGCAAAGTCTTGCTGATTCTATGGAAAGGTTTTGGTCGATTGAATCCGTGGATTCATGTAATCCTCTCACCAATGAAGAACAGTTGTGCGAAGAAATTTTCTCCTCCACAACCCATCGCGACCAGAATGGTCGTTACATTGTTCAATTGCCCCTGAAAGATTCTATTCATCGGGTAGAAGACAATCGTTCGATTGCTCTTCGTCGATTCTTCATGCTGGAACAACGGTTCCTGAAAAACCCTGAGCTGAAAAAACAATATGCAGAGTTCATCAATGAGTACAAATCCCTCGGTCACTGTATTCAGATTGATGAGTCTCAAGATCCTCCAAAGCTTTTGAAGTATTATGTCCCTCACCATGCGGTTTTGAAGCCTACGAGCTCTTCAACGAAGCTCAGAGTTGTGTTTGATGCTTCATCGAAGGGTAATGGACCTTCCCTGAATGATGCTTTGATGATCGGACCAGTGGTCCAAGATGATATCTTAACGATCAACCTGCGTTTTCGTAAGCATCGATTCGCCTTCTCTGCTGACGTTAGTAAAATGTACCGGCAAATAGCATTTGCCAGAATCCACACTTCTTTGCTTCGAATTTTCTGGAGAGAAAATCCAAATGATCCCTTACAAGTTTTGGAATTAACGACAGTAACCTATGGTACATCTTCTGCGCCATTCTTAGCCACAAGGGCACTTCAGCAGCTTGCTATTGATGATGGTGATCAATTTCCGATTGCAGCCAAGATCGTTCTTGAAGATTTTTATGCTGATGATGTTTATGTTGAAGTTCATGGCTTTGCCGACGCTTCTGCCTATGCGTATGGAGCATGTCTTTATATCCGAACCGTAACCCATGATGGGGTAAAGGTATCTCTTGTCTGTAGTAAGTCGAAGGTCATTCCAATCAAAGGATTGACGATTCCCCGATCCGAACTGTGTGCTGCATTGTTGCTAATCAGATTGGCCATGAAGGTTCTTCCGGCAATTAAGATGAACTTCCACTCAATCCATTATTGGTCGGATAGTCAGATCGTTCTTTCATGGTTAAAAAAGCCTCTATCTCAACTTGACGTTTTTGTTCGCAATCGAGTTGCAGAAATTGTTGATCATTCTGTTGATGCTAATTGGAATTACATCAAGTCGTCCGAAAACCCAGCTGATGTTGTCAGTCGTGGTCAACCCTCACAACTCCTTGCCTCGAACGAACTTTGGTGGAACGAACCTCCGTTTCTGCGAAGTCATAGCTATCAGATTGATGAGCTTAATCCTCTTCCCGATGATAAACTACCGGAATTGAAACCAGTAACCGCGTCTACTGCCGTTCTTGTTCCTGAAACCCTTCCAGTTATGACTGCCTTTAGTTCATTCCGAAAGCTTCAGCGAGTGATTGGATATGTCAGGAGATTTGTTGTGAATGCAAGGTCTCCCAAATCGGAACGCATCACTTCGGAATACCTAACTGTGCGAGAGTTGAAAGAGTCATTGAATTTGATTGTTAAGTATATTCAAGGAGTCGCATTTTCTGACGAAATTCGTCGGCTTGAATCTTTGCGTCGACTCAGTAGTCTGAATGTTATTATGAATGATGGTGTGTTGAGAGTGGGTGGAAGACTGAAGCATTCATGTTTGCCATATGGTTCAAAGCACCAAGCCGTACTCCCTGACAAAAACCCAATTGTCGAATCGTTGCTAAGAGCAATGCACTGCGAAATGTTGCACATTGGTCCGTCTGGTCTCATTTCGTTGGTCCGCCAGAGATTCTGGCTTCTGAATGCTCGTTCTGTTGTCAGGAAAATCATCCGGTCTTGCGTTACATGTTTCCGATCCAATCCGAGGTTGCTTCAGCCATCTATGGGCGATCTACCTGAGGTTAGAGTCGTTCCAGCTACACCTTTCTCGAAATCAGGAGTTGATTTCGCAGGGCCAGTTTTCATTCGCCAAGGCAGTATGAAACCTGTTCTAGTGAAGGCTTACATTTGTCTTTTTATTTGTATGACCACCAAGGACATACACTTGGAATTGGTATCGGATTTGTCTGCTTCATCCTTTGTTGCAGCACTTCATCGTTTTGTTGCTCGACGAGGTCTCATCGAGGAACTGTTCTCGGACAACGGGACAAATTTTGTAGGAGCCAAATCTGATCTGCACGATTTGTTCCAGTTGTTCAAAAGTGATCAACTGCATGGACAGTTGAATGAGTTCTGTCAGGTTCGGGAGATAAAATGGACTTTTATTCCACCCAGGGCGCCCAATTTTGGGGGGTTGTGGGAAGCTGGAGTAAAGAGTACCAAAACACACCTTAAAAAAGTTCTTCGTGATGCTTCGCTGACGTTTGAGGAGTATTACACTGTGCTCACACAGATCGAGGCGATCCTTAACTCCCGACCACTGTTTCCGTCCTCTTCAGATCCCAATGAGCTTGAAGCTGTTACGCCCGGGCATTTCCTCATTGGTCGCCCATTGACTGCTATTCCGGAACTTTCACTTGAAGATGTAAACATTAATAGACTTACACGCTGGCAGCTTGTCCAGCGTATCCGTGACCATTTTTGGAAGCGATGGTCTCGCGAGTATTTGAATACCCTACAAACCCGTCAAAAATGGACAAAGGGTTCCAAGAATGTAACTCCAGGGATGGTAGTATTGTTGAAGGAAGATAACCTTCCACCTCAGGCGTGGAAACTGGCTCGAATTCTGAAGGTCTACCCCGGATCAGATTCAATTGTTAGGGTTGCAGATGTCCAAACCTCTCATGGTATTTTCCGCCGCCCAATCTCGAAGTTGGCCCCTTTACCCTTTGATTCAACCCAGCCCTCTGTTGTTCATCAAGTTCCTCTTTGCCCGGGGGGAGAATGTTCGCGATTGAAGCGAACGTAATGTGTTGTAGAAGTAGTAGTAGTAGTTGTTTTGTGTAATCGTCCTAACCACTTACCCAATCCTTTAAAACTCTACTAACCCCGAGGCGACCGCGGGTAATCGGTTTCCGAAACTAACCCTAATGTGCTACATGTGTAATTTGTATCAAGACCCTGAAAACAAGCTTTGATCATTTCCTTACGCTGCCGCTGGCTTGGCACGAGCATGCAAGCAGCAGCACCGACCGAGCGACGAGCGACCGACCGACCACAAACCAACGAGCGTGCAGCGAGTGCTGATTGGTTATGAATGAAGGAGAAATGAATGAATGCAACATCAAGAAGAAGAAAGCCAAACACATTTAAAGCAACGCATTTTGCGCGTCGCGATCATACAGTCCACAAGCTTTGTAAAGCAAACACCGAAATATAGCGCCGTTGAAAGTTTTAATTCATTCTCGTTTTTCCTCTTTGGACAAGCCGAAGCCAAAACAGTCCTTTTCAGGGCTATGAGTTGAGTTGGATTTCAGTCGAGCTTTTCGTTGTGTTCCTGTTGGCATTCCCACAGGGGGAATTGGCCAAATCAGCTGGAATCCTCCGAGCCGAGGATTGCCACACCATCTCCAGTGTCCGTGATCGGACAAAATTTGTTCGAGAAAAATCAGTTTTTTATTGTTAAGATGCTTAACCCCCCCCCCCCCTTTTTACTGTTAATTTCTCAAATACCATGATTTTCATTGTTATGACTGTACCTCATTGAATTACAATGACAATAAAAATTATTGTATTTTTATTGGATTTTTTTACGGGTTTCTTAATTCAATCCACCAATCTTCATCTCTCACTCTTTACAATTCGGTCTTATGGTCTATTCAGCTCAATAGCGTTCGGCCAAGTGACCTTAATACCAACAATCAATATGAAACTATCGATTTGAAATTGGCTCACTACTTGACTAGCCTATTGGTCCCAAGCAAATAGATTAACGTACCCCATTCTAGTCAAAATTCTAGTACAACACAATGTTTGTTTTGATTCGCTATGAAAGTTTGACAGATAGAATGAGGGGTTATTGGAATTTCCTATGTTTCGAGGGGTGAATCGATTAGCTTGGGACCGAAGATAGTACCAGAGCTTAGCCAAAAAGTAGAGCCCGTTTCTTCGGGACCTTGTAGTCTTAGGCCGTTCGCAATGCTGAGTTTCAAATTTGTTTTGAACGACTCGACAATTCTATAATTTGAAACTGTCAAAAATAAAACTGCAACACGATCAGTGCAACGCACAGTTCCAAAAGATGTTTGTAATCATCAAGTTCCATAAACTTTACTGTTCTCCATGAAGTTCATAGAGTTTTTTGTGAAGCTCTACGAAACATCTTTAAATACATCCAAAGAAATTTGAAACATAGTTCCATTCGTGTTTTAAACTCGCTCAGAAATAAAACAGAATAGTCGAGTAGTTGCAAATCTGGTGCAAAATAGTGCTCGAATAATGAAACTGCAACTCAGCATTGCGAGAGGTGCGTTTCTGTTCTAGTTTCAAATTGAAACAGTCCTTATAAAATACAACAGCATTGCGAACGGCCTTAGAGTTACCTCTATGTTAATACCCCGTACATACTATGGCTTATATCATGTATTATAGGCTGTCTTGCAATGAGAATTCATACATAGGATTTCCAATGAAAACTAGATGTTTGAGTGCTCATTGCAAGACAGGCTTTATTACAAGATATAAGCCATAGTATGTACGGGGTATAACAATATTGGTCAGGGTTGCTTCCACTCACTTGATATAAAAAATTGTTTTTCGGAATTATGAAATCATTAGATGTTAAAATGGTTATTAGTACTTGAAGGTTAAAAGAAGGGGTTGTGAAGTATGTATTTGACACATAAAACCTGTCAATATTGCTTTCAGTGCGTCACAATCTAAGAGGAAGAGGAGACAACTGGCTTCTTACTCTTTTATCTCTATCTATATCTATCTCTATGCCTATCTTACGTACTACAAATCAACCAATCACGAGCTGGTTCGCGTTTGACAGATAAGTGGTTCGTTTTCGCCTCCGTATTGTCTCCTCTTTTCTTAGGTCACAATCAGCGTTTTTACGATTCGTCAGCGCTCACTCTGAGTGATCGCTCATGAATCAAAAGATCACTGATTGTGACGCCCTGAAAGCAAAATTGACTGGTTTTGTGATTCAAACACACACTTTTCACCCTCTTCTTGTTACTTGCAAGTACAACATATCATTATATCATCTAATGATTTCATTATTCCGAAAAAAAAAACATTTTTTATAGCAAGTGAATGGAAGCAACCCTGATATTGGATAACCAAAAGTAAATGGTACTGTCGATTTTGCAGCAGGTCACTGGCCTGGTCAAAACTGAACCTACCCGAAAATGGGTAAACTGTGTTGGAAGTGACAAGTTGACAAATGAACAACATTGACATGAAACCGATCGACGTTGTTTATTTGTCAACTTGTCACTCCCAACACAGTTAACCCTTTTTGGCTAGGTTCAGTTTTGACTGATCTGGGTGGATTCTTCCCTAATTTGTGAAATTTTGAAATAGCGTGTACGTTTGGGTTCCTGCACTTAGAGCACCCGCACCAATGTGTTGCTATTCGGGCTGCTAGTTTGACAACTTTAGCCATTGCTATTGGCAAACCAAAGTTGGCGCTCGTGGAGAATAGAAGAACTATAAAAGTGATGATGGTTTCAAAATTTTCCACGGGGAAGTATACGAGTGCAATCTTAAAATGCTTTTATTTTGCAAATGGAACATTTTATTTAAATCTGGTTGCTGCTACAGTGGTAGAAAAGCTCAAATCTATGTGTACACCTAAAAATCTGAAAAGAAATGAATTTTTCTATATTATTTGTCTATTGAGTAGTCCTTAAGTTTTCTACTAACATAGCACCAACCAGATTTAAATAAAATGTTCCATTTGCAAAATAAAAGCATTTTAAGATTCCACTCGTATACTTCCCCGTGGAAAATTTTGAAACCATCATCAGTTTTATAGTTCTTCTATTCTCCACGAGTACCAACTTTGATTTGCCAATTTTAGTAAGCAACTTGTTTACGCACCGGTTGTTGCTATCACGATTGTGAATTTACGTTTTCGGCTTTCGCACCGATAGTTGCTAAACTTATCGTCGATTTCGAACTGAAATTGATCACAGAGTTTCGTAATTGTTTTTTTTACGTTAATATTGATATCCCTAACCACGAAGACTGAAGATTGAAGATTAAGATCCAACTACACAGGTACTCAAGAAACGGTCCTTCGGAAGATCTGAATAGCCCAGCGATTTTTTTTAAAATCACTTGTTGAAAAAATCTCACATTAGCGAATCAATCTACGACAAATCTATTTTCATCTCTTGCATCTAAACCCATCTACTCGCATCGCTCTCCACCTTTTTACAAGAAATCTTCAAAATCATTATCAATCGTGTTTCTATCTATTAAGCGCAAGTGCATCTCACAACAGCAAAGCAAAAAATTCCTGCATCTTAGAAAGAGTCGCCCCCTCTCGGATTTTTTGGGAAGTTCTCGGAACTTCGCAGATGATTAGAGATCTTCATATCTGTTCGAGGGGGACGACTCTATCTACGCTGCAGGAAAGATTGTGTTGTGTTGTTGCTAGCTGCTCGCACGCTGAGTAGATAGAAAGAAGATTGATGACGATTCTGAAGATTCCTGCAAAAAGATGATGCGTGATGCAAGTAGATGCGAGAAATGCAAGAAGATTTTTCGAAGATTGATTCGCTAGTGTGAGATTTTTTGAGTATCTAAAATTGAGATTTAGATGTGTCGCCCCCCTCGTATCTGTTTCATTTATTTAAGGAAAATTGCAGGATATTTCAAGGAATTCAAAGGAATTATGGGATATTTCAAAAATTTCATGAATTTTGCGATACTTCAGAAACAATGCGAGGTCTTCAGGAAATTTTATAAATATGATTGAAATTTCCGGAACAACAGAAAAATTAATGAACTTCAGGAGATATTCAAAACCTCACGGAAGTCCAAATAAAACTAGGATTTTTACGCGAATTGTCTACTTTTGTGGTTGTTCAAAATCTTCCCGAGAACCACACCGCTACCTGATTGCGTATGCTAGTCCTAGATCCTAATTCATACATGAAGCTTCAGAATAAGGGAATCGTGAAGCTCTTGAATATTTTTTATGAATTGATTACTTTTACGCATGGTCCGGAACTCCCGAAAGACCGGGTTGTGGCCAGCAGAGTTCGCATGCTGGTCTCAGATCCAAATTCATTAATGTAGTGATTTTAAAAAAATACGGAGCTCTAGAATATTTTCTATGATTTACGGATGTTCCGGATCTTTCGAAGGACCGTTCCATGGCCACCAAAGTGCACATACTGGTTTCAAATCTAAATTCATTCATGCAGCATAACAACAAGTTGATTTAAAATTCTAGATCCTTTTTTACTAATTTTCCACATTTATGGATGTTCCGGGTCTTCCAGAGGAATGCTAAGCTGTCCCTTGGGTCCACATTTTTGTCCCAGATCCAAATTCATTTATATAACAATGCTCAAATGAAAAACCAAACAAACATTTCATAGATAGCAACGCTTGGACCGGTTGCTCTCTTTGGAGTCATTATTGGGTATTTTGCTCACTCATAATCGCCAAAAGTGCAGGAACTCAGCGATGAGTTAATTTGCCTCATGTTTTTCCAGGTTTTTCCAGGATTTTCCAGGGAAAAATTCCTGAATTTGAGAAAAGTAAAGATTGGATTCACTCAGTCTATTCTCCAAGACTGAATAAAATTTTCGTCAATTTCCTCATTTTCCGGCAGATTTTTAAGGTTTTCCACAGGAAACCATTAGACAAATTTTACTCATCGCTGAGTTCCTGCACTTTTGGCGATTATGAGTGAACTAAACTCAAATTTGGGTCGTTCTCATTCGCCGTGTATATACCCACCACTAAAGAGGTCATTACCCACCACGACAACAAACTCGTTCAGTCAAATTAAATTTTCTATCAACAACAAACTAACAAATTTGTGCGAGGAAAAGATGGAAGTGAAAATTGAGCCACAGACCTGGAGCCGGTGCTTCACCTGCCTGGACCATTCGGAAGAATGTATGCAAATTTCCAGCGAAGCAAGTGATTCCGATTCAGTGACCGTGGTGGAAGCGCTGACCAAACACTTTTGGTTCCAGCGGAATGAGTTCACCAAAGCACAGCACGTAATTTGCGAGAACTGCTGGAACCGGCTGGACGATTTCCATCGATTCTATCAGGAAGTGGAAGAAAATCATAGGAGTCTAAATCAAAAAACGCCTAAAGTGTGCGAGGGTACGGAACATTCCAACGTTCAAATACATCCTGAAATAGAGGTAAAGGAAGAGGACAATTATTGGCATCAATCTGAAGACGAAGAATCTGAGAAGGAATGCAACACAGCATCCTTGTCGGGTGAGGAACAGAAAGAACCGACTTTGACGGAACGAGTATCACAGCGGCGATCAAAGCGGAAAGTAGAACAAAAGCAACAAGTTAGAGAACTGGATGACGATGATGAAATTATTAACACTCATATGCAATACAACTGTTCCATCTGTGGGAAGAATTGCATGACGTTCCACCAACTTAAACTTCACCTGGTAAAGGTGCATAAAATGGAAGGTAAGTCTATTGTTAGTTTTTTCGACGTGCTTTTTGCATTCTCTTGATTACAGCGAGCATCATCTGTTGTGGTAAGCGATTCTACAAAAGGGTCGGTTTGTTGGAACACGTGCTAAAACTGCAGGATCCGGATCGATTCAAATGTGACATCTGCGATAAAATTTTAACCAATAGCTGTGCAGTCCGGAAGCATAAGCGAGAGATACACGTAACGAATAAGGAAAAGAAGTATCGCTGCGATCGGTGTCCGCAGCGATTTGTGAGGGCTAGCTTGCTGAAGTACCATATCAAAGGACATACTAATTTGGACAAAGGATCGATCAAGTGTCCCTACTGCCAAAAATCGTAAGCGTTTTGTGAAACTCGTACAATAAATAGGAGTTGCTTCAGTCCATTACTGTTTCAGATTCCCGATGATCCATCGAATGAATTGGCACATCAAACTTCGGCACGCAAGCAAGAGTTTTGTCTGCGATCTATGCGAAAAAGGATTTGTCTCGGAACTGGATTTACAAAGGCACGAGGAACAACACAACATGTCTCCTGAGGAACTGCAAGCCCAGTGTGAAATTTGCCACAAATGGTTAAAGAACAAGAATACTTTGAAAATGCATAGCCGGCTGCACACGGGTCCAATGAAGTGTGATATCTGCGGACTTGTACTTGAGCATTACCAAGCCTTAGCGAGACATAAGTATAGAAAACATAAAGTAAAACAAAGGTACGGGTGCGAGAAATGTGGTAAGAAATTCCAACGAGCCATTGAACTGAAAAAGCATGCGACCGTGCACTACGAAGGGACAGTGGAGGCAGAATAGGAGCAAGTGTGCCACCCTCAATCATTTTGAAAATAAATACATTTGCAATAGTGAAATCCATTGTCGTAGTGGTTATAACAAATGTAAACAGCTGTCAAACGTAACTCGCATCATTTTTTAAATTGAAAATTTGACTTTTTCTGTACGTTTTGGTGATCAAAAAGCTTATAAAATTATAGGAAAAGTAGTCTTCTACAAAATGATAACTGGCTTCAATAATATAATTCTAGATAGAGCTGGAATTAGGGCGTAATAGCTTTTGTAAACAATGACTTCTCTCGTTGATTTCTAGCAACTAGAAGGGACGCCTACACAAACCAACATATCCATCGGGTAGGGAAAGTCATCCCCTATTCGATGGTAATGTTGATTTGCCAGGGAGAGTCATGTCTTTCGAGAAATCATCGAGGGAAGTCATTGTTTACAATTGCAATCAGGAAAAAAGTTGATTTTTAGATTACATAATCGCAAGCTCCACCGCTTAACATTTTCTTTGTTGTTGCAGGTTCGTTGCATTATCCCGGGATGCAAACCAGGACAAATTTCCACTATTTCGGGTTCAGAATTCGGGGAGCAACAAATTTGTGCAGTGGAAAAAGGTTGCCACTGTTTACGGATATGCTCCCATCATTTTGTTGAAGCAGACTTTTTAGAATATAAGTCCCAGAGTTTGTTGTCGTGGGTGGGGTAAGCTCAGATTAATTTCATGTGGCAGATCCCCGGGATGGGAACTTTGCAGCACAAACCCATTCCCCTTAATTATTGCTTTGCTGCTATCGCCCAGGTACGCAATATGCTAGGTCTTTAAATCCGCTAGCATGGAGTCCCCAACATAATCCAGTATATCCAGCAGACTGACTTGGACGTCGATTTCGGGATGGAAATCTGCAATCATACAAAACATAACCTAAATTATAAAAACGTATTTCCATATTCTTTCAATGACATTGCAATGAAAATTAACATAACATTACATTGTTCGACAAATTTCCCACATGTATCATCCATAATAATGATCGTATCACACTAATGATTTATCATTCAAACTCTGGAATTTGAACCGGTTGTTATAAATTTATCACCATCGACTAGTACTTTTCCCCGCCACTAGTGACGCATACATTTCACTTGGATTCTACTATGCTATTTAGCTATTTTGAATATTTCACAAAATTATATCTGACCATCAAACAATCTTGGGAGAATATCTGAAAGACGTAATAGAAATATATTGTGCAGGTTAAGATCTTCAGAATAATACTTGATCAAATAAAACTCTTGAATGAGTACTTAAATGAAGTATTCGATCAGCTGGAGATCTTTTGATATTTTCCTGATCGACCTTCCGTCTTGGGAGATTATCTGTGTTATGACATTTTAATTTTTGAGCTTCAAAATAGCACTTGATCGCTCGGAAGTCTTAAAAATATCTAGACGACTTTATTGTTGTCTGGGATCATCAACGAAGCTCTCACAAATTCAACAAAATTTCCTAAATTTCTACGAAAGCTCCTGCACGCAGAGAAACAAGTGCATTGAATTTTTAATTTAAACTCATGTTTTTTCTTGAACCAAAGAAAGAAAGCTCTGTTTCTAATGTACAGCAGCGTTCATTCTTTAAAGCTTTGCTTTTTGATTAAAACATCTTTTGGGAATGATCCTATTTTTTGTCTATGTGTTCACCGCCATTTTATTACATTACATATAGGATTCGGCAGAGGAAAAAAGTGATAGAAGAGCTGGAGGTAGAAACGCTCGGTGCAGAAGATTTGAAATTATCAAAATTATTGAAAACATTTGATTTGTGCAGGGATTTGAGCGAAGAAGTAGCCGCCCAAATAAACGTGTACCATATACTGACGATATCTTAGATGGTGCGACCATACCACATAAAATTGGGATGATATCCCGAATTGGTGGTTAGGCGCATCTTATGGTTATTGTTTATGCGGGCGGTGCTTTCATCGGTAGGAAAATTCTAATTTAATACAATCATTTTAATTATTTCAGCGAATCGATACACACTTGACATCTTGAAAATCACCGATGTGATGAATAATATGTTTTTGGAACCAGCAATAGATTTACGAGAATCTAAAATATTAAATGCACCAATTTACGAAAAACATAAGTCCCTGTTGAGTACTTATGGTACGATTGATAATATTTTTTTAGGATGCGTGGATAAATTTAAAAAGCAAGGGATGATTTTCAAGCCAAATGTGTTATTCTATATAATGCAGCGCAGCCTAATCAGCATTCATGAGCTAGATAAGATAATACTAAATAACGATGAACAATTAATACTTATTTGTTTGAAATGAAAACGATTAATTTACCCAAAGTAAATGAAAAATTGTTGTTTAGATACTGTAATTTTGTAAGTATAATAAATATTGTATCCAAAAAATGATTTTAATTATTTGTTTTCATCTTAAATTAAAAGAAACAAATTAATACGGCAAATAATCAAATATCAGGTTATTTACATTAAATGTTCATTTTTTTTTAGAATCAACAAAAGATTTTCTTTGAAACAAAATGCGTATTTATTTTGTTTAAAAAAGAAGCGCGTAATCGAAAGAAAATAATATACTTGTTTTGATTAAAGAAAGAATATAAAAACAATTAAAGAAAAATATTGTTGAATTTACTCACAGTCACATGGAGAGTTGACTCTAAAAACAACAAGCAGTTTTTTTTTTTAAATCTAATCAAATTAATTCAAAGAAAAAAACTGCATAGGCCCTGAGTCTACAATATTTTTTTGTTGAATTCAATGTAATTTATTTTTGAAATTAAAAGCCATTTCTCTGCGTGTGTGCTTCCACAATGTTTCTTAAATAAATATACTCAGTAAAGTGACTGAATTGGGTAAAGAGGCGACATCTTATCCATTTGACAGGTCTTCTGCTCAGTTGGAATAACTTTTCCTATGACTTTGACGGATAATCGATTGTTCCAATTTTGAAATGTCGTCTCTTTATAAATTCAGCCTCTTTAATACTCCGTTGCATGAACTAATTTTAGTTATTTATTTATTTAGTTATTTATTTATTTATTTATTTATTTATTTATTTATTTAATAAGTCATCTGACAAAGTTGTCTTAATGAATAAACTATTCGTCTTAAATAAGGTTCAGTCTTCTTACTCTATTCACAAATTGAGGTGTGGACATACCAAAATCAAACGTGGACTCGACGGATACAAACATACGAACCATTGCACAAATAGGCTGGTTGTAGCCATAGAGAGTACGATAAAAGCTCGGTTGCATCAGGGATTGCTGACGTAACATCCTACCTGAAGCACGGAAATCAAGCATTAACAGAAGATGAGAGCAATCGACGTCACCATTGAGTAATTTAGCTATAAACGTAGCCTGTTGTAGCTTACGTCTTCGATCAAGCATTTCGAGGTCAAGCAGACGGCATCTATCGGGATATGCTGGAAGGTTCAAAGGATCACGCCACGGTAGGTTTCTGAGCGCAAGTCGTATGAATCTTTTTTGCACACGCTCGATTCTTAGATTCCATGATACGTCGTTTGGAGCCCATACAACTGAAGCATTTTCTAGGATCGGCCTTACGAGTGAACAATACAATGCTTTTAGACAGTGTGGATTCGTGAAATCCTTGACAATCTTAGAGATGAAGACAAGTTGACAATTAGCCTTGGAAATAATCGATCCATAATGGGAATGAAAGGAAAGCTTCGGGTCCAATACGACACCAAGATCCGTCACTTGATCCACTCTGCTAAGAACAGTATCATCGATGTGGTATTCATAAATTAACGGGTCTTTGGACCGATAGAAGGTCATCACATGAAATTTCGCGACGCTGATGACAAGCTTGTTCGAGCGGCACCAGTGAACGAACATGTTGAGCAACATTTGCAGGTGAAGAATAACACAAACAATAACGGTCCCAAATAACTTACTTGCAGGACACCGGACGTGCTACACAGCAAAAAAAAAAATGTAATATCGATCAATGTAATTCAAGCTGATGTATGAAATAATGATTTTTTTTTTTTTTTTTTTTTTTTTTTATTAATTTATTTATTTGTACAGGCTCAATCGAATAAACTTTACAGAGCCGAGTTATCATTTGCATTATACATGATTCATGTCTTAAATCTAGAGTTAAAGGAATTGAACCGATTACTCGCGGTCGTCTCGAGGTTAGTGGAGATTTACAATTTTTTGGATGGGGAAAGGGAGAAGGAGGTTTGAAATATGATTTATTATACAAATATTTAATTAATCCTAAAACATGAACTTTTTTCTATTCATCTTGAAGACAAACATAAAAAAAAAAAAAACTACACGCACAATACACAAACTAAACACAAGGTTAATCAAACTTACAATCTAAGGTTAGTATTCTTAAAGTAAACATATATGAGTTTCATAAACTCCAGATCACGTCTAGCCAAAATATCCCGAACTGGAACATTAGGTTGTCTACCTCGAGCCCGAAGGGAATCGCATAGCTCAGATCTGACTCCACGATGCTCAGCACAAGACCAAAGGATGTGATCGGCGTCTTGGGAAATAATGATGTAATAGCAAAAAGCAGATACAATATTACATCAATGGATGTAATTTTGTTCGCAAAATCGATGTACAGCGTACAACGTTATATTACAAAACCGATGGATTGACCTGGTTGCAGCAGTTTGGATGTAATATTCAACAATTTTTGTTTCTGTGTATAGCAAATGGCGATGAAACATAAGATCCGTGTTTAACGTACATCGTTCTGCCAGTCAAGTACGATGACAACCACGACACCAATCGATTTGAGGCTCCCAATCGCGATAGCTTGCAGGTAGTTTTTAACATCTCGTCGGTCACCACTTTTGTGCACAGTAAACATGTACGATAGTTTCGATCTCATGGGAAATTCACCTATCTCAAACGTACGGTTGAAAATGAAGGCTAGCGGCTCAGCTACTGCGCATGCGCAGCGACGGAAA